TACTTCACTGTGCATCACATGCACCAAAGGCTCTTCTTTTTGGAACACTCCACTGAGCTTTGTAAATAAGTGGACACTTGTGCAACAAAACATCACCTCTGCTTTCATAATTTCATATTTTAAGAAGTTAATTATGTTTCTATACATTGTGGAAGATTTCACCAAATCACTTTTACTCTTAGGCATGAAGTCTTTAAAGTACTTCAGAACTGAACTGAAAACAATCTGTCTTCTCACTGGGAAGTCATCATGTTTCCCCCAAAATGACAAAAAATCACAAGCTACTTTCACAAAAATCAAAGAAATACTGACTTTACTGACCAATTTTTTTAAAAAAGTGACAAATTACTGACCAAGATGAAAAAACTGACTTTTACTGATTTTACTGACCATTTTCCACCCCTGCATTCTGAACTGGCAGAATACTTCAAACTACTAATGAGGCAGAGTTGCCAAAAATCTGTGTCCCTTTGACAGAGGCTTAATGTGTGGAAATAGACAAATGAAGCTTTTCATGGCATAGAGGTAAATAGCATCATCTGATAAATAACATCAAATTATACAGGGGAAAGATTGAAGGTCAAAGAAGATGGGGACGGCAAAGGATGAGATGGTTAGACAGTGTCACAGATGCAATGAACATGAAATTGAGCAAACTTCAGAGGACGGCGGAAGACCGGAAGGCCTGGCGTGATCTGGTCCATGGGGTCGCGAAGAGTCGGACTCGACTGTGCGACTAAACAACAAAAAGGACATTTTTTCATTAGGATGCTGGCAACCAAGTGAGGAAGAAACATTGGGTTCAAATTGCCAGCATATTGCAACCTTCTGCCCTATTCCCCTTTAACCCAAGTCAACTCAGAAGGCTTATAGATCTTTTTTTCTAAATTCACTCCACAGCCAATACTGCATCACGGCCAGATAGCTACAGCTCAGTAAGCACCACGATGGCGGGATGGGGTTGGGTGGAAAAGCACAGGAGAAAACTGATGGGCAGACTGCTGATGGCACTCAAGCTCCCCATTCCCATTCCCAGCAACTTCAAACACACTTCAATGTGGGCAATGATAGCCACAGGATGGGCAAGGCATGGAAGGTTGAGAGGGAGCTGTGGAAAACAACTGTCAGTCACTGTTCCTTGGGGTTTATCTTTTTTTTTTTCTAGGTGTTGTTTTTTTTTATTATTTATATTTTATTGTAATGATTGTAACAAGAATTAAATAACATAGGGTATCAAAATCAATACCAATAACTAGTATAGCAAATGATACATAGTGCCATGTCTATAAAGATATGAAATTTACATTCGCATAACAAACCAATATAATCAGTATCCATAACAGTTTTGTACAGCGTACTATCTCTTGATATCTTCTATATTATGTACTTTGAACAGGTATTGTTTAGTACTGATGAGAACTCTGTAAAGCGAAGCACAAGCAGTAGTAGTTACAGTGTAAGAGCAATCACATCCACTTCTGTAAGTATTGCCAGGAAGTAGGTAAATATTCCTGTGAGGTCAAAAAATCAAGTATGGGAGTCCACTTTTCCTTTATAGGTCTTTGTATTGGTTTCAAAGCTGAATTGTTTATTTTGCTAGTAACAGAGTCCATTAGAAAATGGTCCCAGAGCTTCTGGTACCATAACATTACGGTTGGAGGCTTGGTGTCTTTCCAGCAGGTGGCAATTGTGGTACGGGCAGCAAAAATCATAATGTCCAGAATCTGCTTATGTTGGTGCGTTTCAATGTAAGTTGGCCAGTGATGTAAGAAAAGGCATTCAGGATCCAATGAAATTGTCATTCCCGTGATTTTATGAATGATTGATTTTATTTCATTCCAAAATTTGTCAATCACCTCGCATTCCCACCACAAATGAGCAAATGTGCCAATTCCGTTACATTGCTTCCAACATTTTGGTGAACATGTGGGATAGATGCGTGATAGGCGTTGTGGAGTGAGATACCACCTTGTCAAGATTTTAAAATTCTGCATTTCCATTGAGATGGAGTTTGGATAGGGGTTCTTAGTTTCCCAAACCTCCTTCCAAAAATTATCATCCAATGTAGATTTACAATCTTTTTGCCAAAGTTTTTGGTAAGTAGTTTCTATAGAAAGGTTTGGCAAATTAAGGAGATGATAGGTCGCAGAGATTAATCCCTTAGTAGTACGTTCATAAATGTGAAAAAGGAGTTCTAGATCAGTGGGAGGCCTTCCCATTGCCTCTTTCATATGTGTTTTCTCCGTAGCGTGCTGAAGCTGCAGATAGAGGAACCAGGGTATTTTTTCCCCTATTTTATGTTCAATAGCAAATTTGGGTAAAATACCTTTTTTTGTTGTTATGTCGCCAAATCTGGTTAATCGTGCTTTTTTCCATTTATTTAGTTGTGATGGTGTGATGGCATCCGTGAACCAGGATTGATAAATGAAAGGTAGGTATTTAGAGTTTACAGGAAGTAGAGCTTTACGTGTTTTTTTCCATAAAGATAGCATCGGTCTTAAAAGAAGGGCCGATCCCTTGAGAGTGCTAGAGATAGGTAGGTTGTCCCAGAATAAGGCCAACAACGGTGTCGGATGGTTAGTATCAGAGAGAATTTGGATCCAGTCTTGGGTTGTTTGTCTACGCATAAGTTCCTTGGGGTTTATCTTGTTACACAGATTCCACTCAAAGTAAGTCTTGGTACTGCTAACTGGATTCCATAGGCATATCACCAATTCCTTTTAATCAATAGTGTCAAAGCATAGAAAAGCCTAAATAAATCAACTATATACCGAGTAAAAATAAACTAATGCTTATTCTGTATATTCATTTTGTTACTTCTCTTGACAAATACTGATATTTTTGTTTTGCCTGGTCTGTAAGAGCATAAGGTTATGCATTTATTTTGTTTGACAAGACTATTTTGTGCATTGTAGGTATATTCCACAGCTATTTGTGTTTTGCTATTTATTTCTTTTAGGGAACAATCCTATGCAGGTCTACTCAGGATTAAATTTGATTTATTCAAAGGAATCTATTCTTAGGGATGCAACCACAGGCCATATTATTTATTTAGAAAATATTTGTTAGCTCACCAGTCCTGCTCCACATAGCTCACAACAATAAAATAAAGTCAAACAGCCACAAAAAATAAAACCAAATCATAGCAATAAAAGACTATAAATAAAACTATTCAAGTCAATTAAAAACACATGCCAATAAAAGCAAGCCAAGGCATAAAAGTGCATAAAATGGAGCAGTCTAAAATGATACATAAAACAGCCCTAAGGTGAGGAGCAGAACAGACTGCTAAAAACCGAAACCCCTGAGGTAAAAGCTGGGGTGAACAGAAATGTTTCTGCCTGTTGCCTAAAAAGAAATAAAATACTGAGAGAAGTGAATTAGTTAAAAGTGAGCTGAATCAGCTGTAAGTTGTTGGACAACTACAGAATTGCAGTCTGTGAAGAAAAAATCTGGAACCAGCTACAAAGCCAGAGATAAGATGGGGGTGGGGGGAGGAATGTGGCCAGGTGAGCGGCCTTGGTTGACTAGGGCACTACCAAAACACGCATGCGTAATAAACTAATAAATATTATCTAACACACACTTCATAGTAAAGTAGCTAATTGTAATACACATACAATTTATGTTTGAGAGGGGGGAACATGACAACGAGCAAATGTGTACTAAATATGTACTAGGCGGTCATGGAGGCTGTAACCTCTGAGTACCTAAACCAATGGGGGGAAAGGAGGAGGGAACTTGCGCCTGGGGTAGGGAATAAAAAGCAGTCATTTGAAACAGTGCTGGGAGCCTGTCTGAGTTGACTCCCTTTATTGTCAATAAAGTTCAACTACAAGATACTCCAGGCTGACTGCCTTTTGTTTTCCTCCCCGGAGGGGCTGGGGAAGGAGGATTTTACTTTTGTTTCCCACAATAGGCACCAAGCAAATAGGGTTGCCAGTTCTGGTTTAGGAAATTCTGGAGGATTGGGGGGGGGGCAATGCCTGAGGAGGGCAGTGGTCAGTGGTGATACGGATGCCACCAGAGTCTGTCCTATGAAGCTGTCCTTTTCTTCAGGGGATCTCTGTCCTCTGGAGCTCATTCTGTGAGCCTGCCCACCCGGGGATTAGCAACCCTACCGAAGCGAGCCTCAAGGGGGGGGGGGCATTAGGAAGAGGACAGGCCACCCATCACGCCTTCACAGTTCAGGGGGCACAGAGAACAAACAGGCCTTGCAAGACAGTTTTCTATCCTGTGGCCTAGCTGAACTGCCAAAATGGCCTCTGCCAGCCTACTCCACAATTCCAGAGGACCCACCATGGTTGAGTTATTGCTACCTATTTCTTTCTCATTCAGGTCTGGAGACCGCAAACTTTTTTTGCTCAATCGCACACAATTCTCATTAGGACCCCCTGTCGCCCATGGCTTTTGTTAATGCATGACCCCCCAACACAATCCTTCTGGTAGTCAAGGGGGACGCCCCTCCCTCCCCTTTTCCACCCCTGGAAAAGCTCTCATGTGTGTTTAAATAAAGATGCCTAATTTAACAGCAAAGGGAGGGGGAGGGGGGGCGGCGGTGCCGCTTGGGGTGCTGGCTGCCTGCCAAGTTCGTCAGGACTCGTGAGAAAATGTCTGTCCGCCCGGAACCGAACCCTTGAGGACGCTGCTCGCCAGGTGAAGCCACAGGAAGCGCGCCTGGATTTGCTGGACTCCCCCCCCCCCCCGGGGGCGGCCCATCGCACCGGAGTCTACTCGCGCGTGTGCCGGGCAGCGGCGTGCAAGGCAGGAGCCCCTCCTGAGCGGAAGACACCGACTCCTTGAGGCCTCCGACTAGTATTTCAGGCACGACGGGGGGCAACGACCCAAACGCGTTTCGCGAGCACCGTCCGGCCAAGAGTTGCGCGCGGCCGCAGCAACCACGAGGGCTGACTAGGCCGCCGTCGCCATGGCCACGGGCGAGAAGGGAGTTGTGCTGCGCGGTGAGGTCATAGGGGGCGGGGACACGTAGGCTCGGGACGAGGGCGTCATCGGCGGCGGCGGCGGCGGCGGCCGCTCTCGGGGACTCGCTCCGAAGTGAGCGCGCGGAGCGGGGCAGGCAGGCAGGCGCGAGGGGGCAGTGCCCGGGGGCGCGCGTGCCCGGACCCTCCCAGACCCCTGACCCCGGCCGTGTCCAGAAGGAGGAGGAGGAGGAAGGGAAGCGCCTTCACGTGCCGGGACCCGCGGGGAGACAGGCGCAGCAGCCAATTAGGAGGTGGGACTGGGGGGGGG